TTCATTAAAATCACGGACCATGAAACATTTAGTTTGCAGACCATGTATATAATACAGTAAAAGCTGGTAGTAGTCTCGCAAAAATTTTATTGCTAGGGTTGAAACGACGACTTTTAGGTTTATATATTCCAATAAATTTATAATTAATAATAGCTCAGTGGGGAGCCTTATGGAATGTGCATTGGGTTGTCCATAAAGACCCTCTGGTTTGCTTCCTCTCCTGGCTGGAAGTTGCCAACTCTGTTAGCATAGCAATGTGTAGATATGGAGAATGACTTGGTATGTCATCATATGGACCGTTTAAATTACAAGAAATAACGTCATTTTTAATGACAAAATTTGGGATGAGGAACAAATCTTTCAAGTTATGAAGCTTAGAGTTGCATGGTGGGTGAATGCAAAATGACCAAATCATAATGACTCTATTGGTGATCTTGCTAGGCTCCCAAGCGAGGGAACTACTCTTGCGAGGAATAGGAACGCCAAGGAAAAGATGGCATAGACCAAACCACCTGTTGGAAGCCTAAAATTTAACAAGGGAGGTGCCTCAAGAGGCTACCCTGGTGACTCGGGGATTAGGGGTATCCAACGAAATGAGCACGGGTTGTACTGGTTCTCTTTTCCAAATCTGTTGGCATCTGTGATTCTAACAAGACTAAATTAATGGCAGTAAGCCAAGCTGCCCTCCGCTTATGGAACCTGATAATACAAATGTCGTCAAATGAATCACTTCTCCTCGTGATGTGCCATAGAGGTTGAGACAATTGGTAATCCAAACTCTTAATGTTCCCAGTAAAATTAGTGAATGGGAGATTAAACACATTTTGCACACGACACGTAATGAGGCAGATTCCCTAGTCAAAGAAGGCATTCTCAGGCCAGAGAATTTTCTTTGGATTTATGATGGCAGGTCGCCTCAAGTTGTTGAACAGGAATTGGAGGCTGCACTCGCTATTTGAGTTCTTTTTTCTTGGTTGCTTCCCTGCCTGGAGGTATTTCTTGTCATGAAAGCTTTATCCTTGTTCTTTTTCTTTTCTTTCACGTGTCCTTGTCCAAGCTAATGTCCTTCTCTGTCATGCTGGCGGACCCGTTGGATGGCTAATATTTTGGGAACTGCTCTTAACTTGTAATGAGCTTGTATAGATCTCGTATGGATTAGTGGTTCTCTTGACAATGATGTACAGGATTTTGCGGGATTTGTTGTTGCTGCGGGTCCTTTGTAAAGATGCGAGGGGATATATTTGTCCCTCCCCATTTTTTCAAATAAAATCTTCATCTTTGCTTGTCAAAAATAAAATAATAACAAGAGCAGTACAATCAATCATAACCCTAAAACAATATATCTTATTTCATAATATCAATTAACAACAAAATTAAGTATATACATATTCTCTATTAGTTTAGAAGATTGTCAACCCCCTACTAACCATAGCAATTAGCATGCACATTGAGAACGAGGGAAATGAATGAGAATATGTCAGCATAAAAGGTCAAGGTTTAGTGAAGGTAATAATTGAAGCATTTAGAAAGTGTTGCATGATTAAGTTGTTTCATGTCGCTCTTCGAAAAGAAAAAAAGTTGTTTCATATCAAGAATATATATGTTTCTTTTTCTCCAAAGAATAGATAATTAATATACGGAAAGCAATTATGCATGGGCATGGGCATGTCGTAAATATTGATCAACAATGGTACTAAGGTAAATTCTCAATTTCGCCAAAAGGATTGGACGTAAGTTACGGGTGGGTGTGAGAGACAGCTAGGTGTACGACCCTTAAAAAAAGACTAGACGTAGGCTACGAGTCCCACTACTTTGGCATATTAAGCTTACAATCTTTGACCCAGAACTTTAAGGTGATCACTCACAAGGAACACTTTAGGGCAAGTAGAAAACAAGTCATTGTGCTTGCCTTTCCAATGCTCGTTTTGAGCCATACATAAAATCATGATCAACAAAATAAAAAAAAAAGGTGCAATACAACATTAAAATAATGAAATTTTTTTTTCGTTTTTCGTACGTATTCATTAGTGTCGATCTGCTTTTATTAAGTATAATTCTTTAAATTTCTTATATCCGACTCATAATGAGAAGCAAAGGAGTGAAATGCAATAATTATGATGCACAAAATTAAGTTATTAATATTTTTTAAAAAAATTATGAAAAATAGGTAAAGAGATAAAAATCTTGTGGGATTGGAGCCAAATCAAGAGTGACCTAATTTTTTTCTTGTATGCAAGTGATTAGAGGACATTACTCTTAACTTTTTTCTTTACTTAATAGTACCATATATAGTATATGTCGTGCATACAACAATAGAGGGAGAGAGAGACAAATGGAATCATGTAAAGCGCTATAAGTGGTATTTGATATTTTATAATACAATATGATTATAAATAATATAATTACAAAAAATGTGATTATAGGGAAGATAATATTACAGTATTTGCTAAATAAGCAAAGTAATGATTAAAATAAAAAAAATAACATTGTAACATTTAGTTTATAAATAATTTACTGAAAATATAATGTTAATTTCTAGAATTATCTTTAGAGTTTTTTTTCACAAATAACCCTCATATATAAGGTGTTTTTAAAAATATTATTCTCTATAATTTTAATTATTTTTAGTCAAAAAAATTAATTTTAGATAAAATTACTTTTAATGAAATTAACTCATATGTTTAAGTTAATGTCTCAAACTAACTTATATCCTTTGAGCTTTCCTCACTAAACTATTCATCTCTGAAGTATTCCTTACTAAAAAAAACTTTAATTACAATCATATTACATCTATTGATTATAATATGATTGCATTGTAATATTATATTACAGTAATTTATTACAAAATAAACACTATAATATAATTTAATTAAACACATTATAAAAATGTACTTTTACTTTCTTTATACCAAACTCTACTTAATTTTTTTATCAATAATTACATAAAGATCAAAGGATCTTACTTTATTTTCTCATTATTACATGGAAAAGGCAACGGAGATGAATCCAATGCGAAAAATTTTCAACAAAAAACAATGTGCTTCACTCCCCATACCAAATTTTACCTAATTTTCTTGGATCAATAATTATGAAAAAAATCAAAAGATCCTACATCATTTTCTCATTATTACATGGAAAAGGTAGTGGAGATGAATCAAACGTGTAAAATTTCAACAAAAAATATGTTTTGCTTGTGCAAATGTTCAATGGCCAATGGCTGCATATAAAACGTGAATTCCTTCAATATTATTTTTTCTTTGAAAAGCATTCATTTTCATTTCAACATCCCTGTAAACACAATAGCACATGTCCTTTGCTCCATATTCCTCTATATTACCATCATTGTCTTTTGGTCCACCTTCGTCAAGCTTTTTTTTATTATTCAAACAAAATTAACCACACCAAGGGAAGAAAAATAAGAAGCTTTAGGTTAATTTAATGTAGAAACTGGAATTGTTTCATTTATATATATATATATTGAAAAAGATATTTGCATATTGACTAAAGGTAAAATAACATAAATACTAAATAAATTTATTTATCATGTATTCAAACTAGCATGAAAATTCATATCGATGTTACAACTTTTACTTCAAAAAACTACATAAAATATTTAAGAAAAAACTCTAAAACACCCCGTAGAGTTTCTATTTATATTTTTAATGTAGAAACTGGAATTGTTTCATTTATATACATATATTGAAAAAGATATTTGCATATTGACTAAAGGTAAAATAACATAAATACTAAATAAATTTATTATCATGTATTCAAACTAGCATGAAAATTCATATCGATGTTACAACTTTTACTTCACAAAAACTACATAAAAATATTTAAGAAAAAACTCTAAAACAACCCATAGAGTTCTATTTATATTTTTAATGTAGAAATAGTAAAGTATTAACGAATTATTGTGCTCTAACTAATGATACCTTTCTTTTAATAGTTCTAAGGATAATGATACATATCCATTAATTAAAAATTAGGATCCTATTTATTTCATGAATCATGATTGAAAAACAAAAGGGTAAGATCAGAAATTAGTGACTAAGCTAAGGGGTAAAAGTACCAATCCCCTACCCCACTAATTAATTGAAGTTCATAATTGATTAATTGAAATTTAAGGAGTAGAACCTAGTAAGTAATCAAATGAACTTCAAATCATGGCATTATGAACAAATTTAGTACTCCAAAGTGAAACATGGGATTGTTCTTCTTCTTTGAACTAATGAAAGCTCAACAATAAAGATTCATTTTCCCTAGAAGAAGCAAATGTAAGTGAAGGCAAATAAAGATCTTAGTTTTGCATATCAATTTTTGAGGTAATAACATTAAATCAATAAAGTTTTGGACTGTAAGCATTTATCACGCAGTGGGAACTGTCAGACTTAAAAGTTTCTCGTTTTGCTACATTGGATGCTGCACCATATCCTAATCTTTATTGCCCCAACTTCTGAGGTTTTTTGTTTTTCTAATTTGGGTTGTTAAAACAACACTTTAAAACATAAATAAGTCAAATTGTTTGGGATTTCCTTTTATAATTATTATTCACTTTCCCATCATAATATATTCTATATGGATCTTTTCTAATTAAATCTGAATTATTCAGTCTTGATGGGTATAGAAATCAGTTCTTTAGTAGTTTTCTTGTTAGCTAGAAGCTAAAAAGGGTCACCCCATAATTGGGTGAAATTCCAGACCGTTAAACCATGGGCTTATTAGCCTAAATCATAAGGCCCTTTCTGGGCCAAGCCTCAGAAACAAACACGAAAAAAAAAAAAAAAAACCCGCTCATTTTTTCCAATCTTTTACTAGAAATATAATCTTCACTCGTATTTTTCTAAATGTCAATCATATAATATAACCATTCGTGTTTCTTGTATTGTACGTACACATATCTCTTCTTATTTCCATTGTAAGAAATCCTATTACGCTTTTATGTGACAACAATAAATTGCAGTGGTCGACATCAGCCGGCCACATATGAATTTCAATGGTTGCAATGGTCTCTGACTATAAAGATCTAGAAAAATCTACAACACTCTGCAGAAAAATGATTGTATACACAAAGAAAATGGGCCCATTTAGCACATATTTTAGAGCTCACAGCCTCTGAACAAATCAAAGAATTATACTTACATAAATTGACATCTATATAGGACGACCAAAATTAAACCCCGAACACTTGTTGGGACCTGACTGGATTTCACCCAGATTAATAAACCATTGCCGTTTGGCATTAATTGATAGGACTACAATGCACTTCAAAATCTATGGTGGGATCCGAACCCACATGCAGGGAGGACCACATGAACCTATGGTTGCTGCAAGAAAGCAACAATCAGAATAGCTGTCTTTAAGGGGCTCAAACAGCCAAAGGAACTGCCATGCTAAGTCAACTGAATCTTTGGGGGGTCTTATAATCGAATAGGTAACCCATAATTGAGGTAAGTTCGAATGCGTCCATCCCAGCTTGCAGTAACAATGACAAGACCCCACTTGTGAGAACTTAACATGCTTTGATATGCACTTTTCAAAACCTTTAACTCGAATTTGCACATGTCAGATGCAATCGTGGCCGGACTCGCATTGGGGAGTGTCTCTTCGGGCCAAGTTGCAGACCCCCTTGTCAAAGACTCCAACAGAACACGTGTAAGAGAGAAACAATCTGGTGAAGAGTGGGGCATTATTTGATCCAGCTCCACCTTTGGATTGTGATGTTTCTGCACATTTGCAAGGCCATTTCTCTGCACATCCCTGCCCAATTCCGGGGATCTAAGCATTCCAGGAATGGTTTCCATGCCACACCAAGGTATAGCAACGGATGCATTGTGGGAGAGGAAACTCTCACGAGACAAAATGGTCTTCGCTTTGGAACTGTTCTTCTCTTGATTGGTGTAATTCCAGATGTAGACATTAGAATCCTCACTAGCTGAGATGACCTGTTTCCCATCTTGGCTAAAAGTTGCAGAAATCTGACTTGTTGCAATCCGAAAGCCTGATGCTGGAAGATGAAATAAGCAAAGTCATAAAAATGTTGTATTTCTAAAGATTTAAAATCATCCACTACCACCTTCAGTCATCACATAGGGAGAAACAATGTTCATCCCCACTCCAAGACTATTCAAGATGGTCATTTGTGAAACAACAGATATAGGGACAGAGTAAAGTACTCACCCTTTAGTTTACATGCAACATCCCTTCCAGACAAGACACGAACAAGTGAGTCAGCTGAAGTGATGATCACTTTGCTTGGGTCACTAGGAGAGAACTAGAAAGTGAAACAACAATATGTAAGTCTTCACCCGTTAAAAATGTAACGAAGAAGGAACGTTACATATGACAAAAATAGGAACAGAATTTAACCACCTCAAAGCCAGTTATCCTTTTTCCAGGTAGCTTCTTTTTGCCTTGTAAGCATATTGGTGCATCGAGTAGAAGTCGATTATCTGAAAAACAGAATGCATGATTAACTGCGGTTCAACCAGAAAATACCAGCAACGTAAGAACTATTGGTGCAAAACTGTCTGCATATTTCTTGCAAAACTATACTAATTCAAATCTTTTCAGAAAGAAAACAGACCACCTAAGCTAGTTGGAAGAACTTTTGGCGCATGACGTTTGCATAGAGCAAATCCACAGTTTTTATGACCTTATCTACCATAAGTGAAGATAATTCAAGAATAATCTACAACATCCTGCCACGATCATCACTCATATCAACATATTTTCTCTTCTTGACCAGGATATATTTGCAACAAGACTATCTCAAGCATAATCTTTATAATGGAAAATCATTTCCTCGAAATTCAAAAAAAGCCAGGAAAATAATCATAGAAAAGTCAGGCATTCAGGCCTTATTCTTTTAGTTATCCCCCAACTATCATAAATATGTATGAATCTCTTTAAGATTATATTTCTATATTCCCACTGGCCAACTTCAAACCGATTGCTAAGTCCACTTATCAAACATCCAACATCAGAATATATATAGGTCACCGCTGTAGGCACTAAACAGTTGTACAGCCACTATTTCCAACCCACTCAACAGCTAGAAACTAAGTCTTGGACTATCGGTCATTGGTAACTTTATAATGCTAGCAAACTCAAAAAGCAATATCATATAACTACTTCAAACCAAACAAAGAAAAAAAAAACCTTTTACAGATCATATTATCAGCATATTCAAGGTTCAGTAGCACCATTAATGTGCAATGGAACTTCAAAGAAAACTACAAGAAAAATTTTGGCTTTTACATATGAACATACCTATGATATCATAAAAGCGGCAGTTTCCAGTCATGGAGCCAACTATTCCTCCCTACAATAATCAATCAACGAGTTTTTTAATACAATATATTAGATTTCAGCAGACAAACCCCAAATTTTAGGAGCTAAAAGCAAAAACTTTGACAAACCTTTCCATCAGGGCGATAACACACAGCAGTGACTATATCCCTTATGTCAGTATAATCAATAACTCGACAGCGAAGCACTTCCCAAATGCGAACTTTTCCATCAATTGAACCACTGATGAAATAATTATCATTCACAGGGTTGAAGGCAACAGAAGTCACTACATTGATAATAAGAGTAACACAAATATTAATTTCATGTAATTTTGGAAAAGATAAAATCAGCTAACCAAGCAAAAAATATTTTAATCATCCATAATTTTTGAATGGCTTGGAATGGGGGGCAGGAGGCGTGTTAAGAGAGGCTTACCATAATTGTTATGAGAAAAAACCCTCAAGCATCTATCATATCCCACTTGCCATAAACGAACAGTCTTGTCAACAGAGGATGACAGTAGAAACTGCAATAAAGAAGATATGATATCATTATTGTAAATCAAGGAAAATTCCCAAGTTTTATACACACACACACATATACATATACATATACATATACATATGTATATGTATACACACACACGTATATATATATATTAAAGATAACAACATGCTAAGTAGTATCCTTCAATTTCTTAAAAAACATAAAATAGCAATCTAATAAGGAAGATGAAATCTAGGAACTTTACCCCTTTCTTAGACCATGAAAGAGCCAAAACTTCCCCACTGTGCCCCTGAAATTCATGCACAGGCTTCTCCAGAATTCGGAAGACCTTTGGTGGGAAAATGACGCAAGTTGAATCTGATGATCTCCTTAACCTCTTAATTTTATCTATATTTTCTTTATCCACATTGAGAGGAGTCAGCCTAGAAAGATGATTCATTCTGAAGTACAGACATGAAGAATCAAGGTCTTGGATGTCCAATTTGTCTAAACTCTCATCCTCGACAACCTTCCAGACACGAACAATACCATCTTCACCTGCAGTTGCCAAGTATTGCCCATCCAGACTAAACTTCATCGTCAAGATTGACCCTTCATGTGCTGTAAAATCTTGCCCACAATATAGGGAAGACAACTCCTTGGAACTCTTGCTACATGGATGAACCCTGACTCTTTTCATCCTTTCCCCTGAAGCTGAGCCATGATTAACATGCTTTGATGCAACTTCAACAGGTCTTTCAACAATATGAGCCATCGCACCTAATTTCCTTAACCAACTCTTTTTCACTTTCCTTTTCACATCAATTGAAGGCCTTCCCTCAACCTGTCTATGCAAGTGCAGCTCAACAAAAGGAGATGACATAGGGGTCCTGTCAAAGTCTTCAGAACTAACAGATTTATTTGAACCCCTTCCTTGTAAACAGCTGTTTGTTCCATTTTGGACCTGTTCAACCACAAGCAATTCCATATGACCATCCAAATTCTGGCTTGATGTGCAAAACAATCCCCTTTTGAACAATTTTCAGCTGGTTCCTGAGCATCATTAGACCGAAAAGATACAAAAGACCGGTTGGATGATACCCCATCTTCGAGACCTGAAGTCCTCAACACAGCCCCACTATCTTGCGAGATTCTATCAATGCCCAATTCAATTTCATCACTATATGAATCACCCGGATCCTCTCTGGTAATTGAATTCCGATCTAAACTTAGCCCCATCCATTTTCGGAATCTATAACGACGCTTATCAACACTTTCTGGGAACATAGACCAAACCTTGTACTGATCAAAACTATCCCAAAACCCGTTGACTAGGCCAAAACCAGGACTAGAACCACATTCCTCAGAACAAACTGAACTGCTATCAGATACAGAAGAAATCTCCTCACGGGTATCAAAGAATTGATCGTCCTCTTCTTCAAAGTAACTCCCCATTATAGTTTTTCTCTCAATCCATGAAATCCTGAAACATTAAGCCACTGCTAAGTTTTCTAGGCTCTCAATCGAACAAGGCAAAGTTGTCTTGTTTTCATATTTTGACTTTTTAGTATTTCAAGAAAAATCAATTAACAACACATAATCACCAACAAACTTCTAGGAAGAAACATAAAAGACAGATCTTTGCAACAAATTTTTTAACGCCGAAGACAAAGGAGGCTTTAAAACATTTGAACAGAACGATGACCACGAAACAAAAATAAACAGAGATCAGAAACCAAAACAGAAGAAGATTTGCTTACCTGGGTCACCACGAGAAGTTGGTCAAACCCCAGAATTCCACGGATTTCCCCACCTCTAAACAACCTCTTAGTCTTTCCCTTCTTCCTTTCTCTCAACAACAAAAAAAAAAAGAAAACAAAAGAGTCCGCACTCAAGAAGACAGAAGGAAGAATTAAAAAGTAGTAGGAAAGTATAAATATGAAGGCAAAAATATGCCTCGGTATTGGCGTTAACGCGAAGGAGAGGAAGATCCTAATTCCTAAAGGTTGATAGGTGGTGGTTTCTTTGTTTCTGTGTCTGTCTGTGTCTGCTTTCTCTCTCTCTCTCTCTCTCTCTCTCTCTCTGTCTTTGATGTCAATTACTGCTAACGTAAATTGTTTAGTTCTGTCCGTTGGTACTTCCTTTGGTCTCTTACACTCTCACCTCAGGCTTCACCGAGCAACTAACGACTTCATTTTAACGGTTGTTGTTCTTCATTGCAACAGTGTATCAGCCCTTTTACCATTTCTTCTTTAAATTTGGAAGTCAGATGTTGGTGAAATTTTCTTGTTCCTTGCACAATTAACTCTCCTATCTTTCTCCTAATCACGCAATAATAGGCGACGTAATTATCAATAAATAAATATAAATAAATATAAGTAGGTTGTATATTTTATTAACCTTCCCAGCGCATGTTGTAATGATCTTACACTAACCTAACCTTCACCTACTTTGCTTTTTTGTTTGGTAAACTCTCATTTATCCGAATGGAGTGAAATCTGGAGGGTTCATTAATTAGAATTTAGATTGCCTTTTCTGATGTCATTTTGTTCACCTATACACTAAAACTCAAATCAAATTTTTTTAAAAAGAAAAACTATTTTTTTATTTTTATATATTTTGGACAAAGCCATCAAAAAGAAGAAACACAGTAATTCTCCTCTTTAAAAAAGTTTTGAGTCCAAGTTTCAAATTTTCGCTTTCTTTGTATTTTTCCCATATTTATACCAAAAAAAAAGTTTGAATATTGGAAATTAACAAGCCAGATTTGTTATGCTGCGGGCTTGAATTAAATCATAAAACTACTGGGTATTGTTCAATCTAATTCATTAAAATTTTTTTAGTAGTATATGTTTGTACACTACATTTAATTAAAATATCTGTTTCCTCTTATTACTTTTGGTGATCATGTGATTTTCAATTTTGGCTTGTGATGAAGGAATGTGACTATGTTTGTGTGTGTGTGTGTGTGACATCTACATCAATAATCAAGTGGCAATCCATATACATAGTGATGATCATGATTTTATTTTATTTTATTTTATTTTTGGTATAGATGATCATGATTTTATTCACAAACGTGCTCATGGATTTTGCTTTTATGGCTAGACTAGATAATAATGAATTAAATGTGCAGAGGATGTCAACCAATGTTTTCATAGCCTTTTTATTAATTACTTTTGCTTAGCATTATGGATGAGTAAAATCAAATCAGATTAATTATTTATCCAAATTAAATAGGATTTGGATAAAATAGTTTGGTCTAATTGATTCATTAAATCAATTGATTCAAAATATTCGATCCAATTAATTTTTTGATCCATTTTCAATTTTAAAATTTTAAGCTAATCTACCCAAAAAACTAAACTTATTTTTATATATATTAATATATAAAATATTTTTTATATATTAAGAAAATTTGATAACAAACTTAATTAATAATATATTTTAAATATATTAATTTATTATATATACATATATAAATCGATCATAATAATTTAATTTTAGTTATATTTATTTATTTATAGATATGTATTAATATGAAATTACTAGTTATATATTTTAAATTATATAACTTATATGTTAATATTATAATATATGATAGTAAATGTCATATATATTAATATGTTATAATTATTATATCTTAGAAATATTTTGTAATTTAAAATATTATGAATATATATATTGTATAAATATTATATATATATGCATATATTTAATTTATGCATAATTTATATATATTATAATTATGGATGAAGTTTTTAAGTATCAATACTATAATTTGTAAAAAACAATGATAAAATTTTAATTCATTTATAAAAATAAAATTGATTGAACTAATTATATGTTTGGTCAATTTGATTATTTTTTATATTTAAATAATTTTTTAAAAATATTTGATCTATTTGATTTTTAAGAATGACAAACCAAACTATCCAACTAATTAACTTGTTGCACTAAATTTTCGGTCATAAGAAAGTGATTATAAAAAATTTAGATAGCTAATTGATAAAAGATTAAAAGCAAACTCTCCCTTTACTAAATGGATAATGCTTATCTTCAATTAATGACATAAGTAATGTGTAATTTTTGTCTTAAAAATGGCAACAAAAAAAAAGTAATCAACCTAAAAATGAAATTGAACAAAATTGATTTTTTTATTGAAGATGGATTGGTGATGTTGTCGATACCAACCCAAAAAAAAAAAAAATTAAAAAACATAGAAGGGGTTACCCAAACCAAAAAACAAAAAAAAAGATTTGGGTTGTCAAGTGTCAACCGAGACTTGTCCACCAGCCGGATGATAACGCCAGGTCGACAAGAAAATGCTATTGGATGCGTCATTTCATTGTTGTGTGACTGCCATTTTAAGTTGACCAGAAAATGGCCTTTCAGCCAAGTTTGTGAAATAGCTGGGATTCTCTGCCGTGTCTTTGTGAATAAGTTTGACTTTCAACTTTCTCCATCTCTCCTTGTCTTTGCCATGATGTTTCCTTTCCCACTGACGGGGCCCTGCCTCAGAGCTGAAATTTCCAAAGAACACCATAACACAAAAGCAATAAATTGAAATTTAGTATAACCTTGTTTCCACCTTAATTATGATTAATATACTATCATAGTCTCTTTTAAATATTGTAGTCACGGTTCCTTGTAAAGTTATATATGACATCCTTTATTTCAAACTGGAAATAAACTGGTCCTGTCTAACATATACATTTCAAGCTTGTTGCACCAAACATTTCCCTTTAAGGTTATGCAGCTACAAGCAAGTGAACAACATTGAATTGCTTAGTGAGGGCTGGAAAACTGAATTTCAACTGAATAAAAATGAAAACTAGTTCCTGAGGCCGTAATTAATTAGAAGATACTAGAAATGTCTGCTGATCAACTAAAAGATTCAGTGGCTCTTCTAGCTTGGCCATTTGTTGATGAATAAGTTGGTTGCAGCTTTTTGGAGACAAGAACTCATCAGTGTTACAACGACACTTCCTTTGTCTCCCACCTAAAAAAAAAGGGACAGAAAAAAAAAAAACTCTTCCCCAAGTATTCTATCCTCTTAGAAGCAGATCGGTCACTCTGAGGCTCAAGTTGAACCGTTAAGGAGATGATGATAGGTTTTAGAGCTTGTTAGATAGACTGATAGACTTATTTTTATTATTATTATTATTAGAGTCGGATCATTGGAATAGCATCATCATCCCTTCAAATCTTGGTATGATTAACATCGGCAACCGACCAGTTTTGTTTTTTGTTTTTTTTTAATGGAGATTGCAGGAGTATCTATGAAGTATAAACGTTAACATCTGCTAATTCTCGGGACAAACTTGGTCAAACTTTGATTTTTGACTTGAACAAGTAGCTTAGAAAAAGAGTATTTTGTGGAGAGTTGTTGGACCGACAGTTTATTATCCAAATGGGTGCATTCTTGTTAAATGCTGCCCCTTCCGTGCTAGTGCTATCATTAGCTTACCTATATGATTGGGGAAAGATTTTTTGGACCGCTCTTGCCTTGTACCGATCCACAGAAAAGAGGCCCAACCAAAAAGAGCAAAAGTAAAATTTTGAAGAGTTTCCTCTTACATTCTTGGACTGCCAAGCCAAGATTCTTACATTGTTTAAAAGGCTTAGCATCATGGAATGAACTAATATTCTAGAAATCTTCTGCACGCTGTCTGAATCCTGATGCAGAGCCCCCTCACAGTGAAGCGAAAGGGAGTGAGGAAATTGACGCCCACATCGACAAGATAAGGGCCTAATGGCCCAAATGGATTTCAAGTTGAACTGTAGTCCATAGCTTTCTCTATGGTTCATCCCAAGTCTAACAAGGCTTAGTACTATTTTCAATCTCAATCTTTGCTTCGCAAGGAAACACATTAGATTGAAACTAAGCTTTATATGATCATAACAAACATTTAAATATGGAAATTCAAGGTTCTTCTTCTCCATCAGCTTCTTTTTGTCTTCCTTCCCCATTTACACTCTACAGTCCCCTTACAAGTTAGGACGGAGGAGGAAAGATGGCTAATGGATATAGGCCTGGTGGTCCAAAAAGAGGTCATTCCGTCCCCAGTTTGGGACAATTGTGGGCTTCGCACTCCTTCCTCAACGTACATGCTATAGTGGAGACAAGGCCCTCCTGGCAACCAGCCATGTGGCTTCGCTTTTTGAGCAAATAGTACCCTGGAATTTGGTCTCCAATCGAAATGCTGGCAGAGGAAATATAGTACTATTACTTTTATTTCCACAGTAT